GAATCGGTTGCGAAGCAAGTTTTCGATATATCGATATACTCTTAGAGGTACTCTGAGAAAAGGATAGACATGAAGGTAGCAAAATTTCGATGGGATTTGCAATAGAGTGCAGAGGACGCACTTTTCCTGAGAAGAGAAATCGAGGAGACATCGATTCCAGAACTCGATGGCGGCATTATATTTTCCGAATACGTCCGTTATAGTGCTTCCTGTCGCGCAGGCCAGGATCGTGTTACGAGAAGCACACATAACGGCCCGAGACTTTAATCGTTCGCGACTATTAATTCGGTGGAAGGCCGGATATGCCGAAAACGGAAGCCACGCGCGTCACGTAGCGAACGCAAGTGCCACCAACATGGCGGCCACGGGAACCAAGTACGGGAAGGAAGGTTTTCGATCGACGCCACAACCCTAACCTCTTATATCTAAAAAGGAAACTTCTTCTTGACTACCAGAGAACTACCAAACCCGTCAAAATTACGGGTTTTCGATCTTTTATTTTTCAAACTAGAGAAAATGTGTTAGTACCTTTGATAGAATTTCTAGTGACTTTTATTCGGACATATTGAGATATAAATTATTTTTTATTTAGATACACTTTATAGGTTGATAGATCTAGTGGAAAATATTTGGTAAAACACTAGTTTTCTCCCAGTTCTGTGTATTAAATCAAAACCAGCACCTGGAAGATACATAACCTCAAATTTTCTCGAATGTTTATCGCTGGAGCTACCGGAGGAGTCGAAATATCTTGTTTCGGACCTTTTAATTTTGCAATGGCCGAAAATATGTGCTTACTTTCTTTAGAAATTAATGCCGATTATGCATACCGTTTTATTTTCATTATTCCAGTTCGAATAACGCGAGTTATGTTCAGTATATTGGTTCTAGCGTTTAAATAGACCCGCGTAAAGCTCTGTTTTCAATTACACGCTGGAAATTCGAAGTTATTTGTTATAATAAGTTCCAAGTATCCTCGAAAGAACTTCTAAGAGCTTCCAAGAACGTACTAGAACTTGAAAGAGCTGCGAAGAATGTAGAAATATTCACTGGAAGGTCTAAAGTCTAGTTTCCATGAACCTCGATCTTCTTCCAACGGAAAGATAAAACTTGTACCGATTCAACCCTTTGAAAAGGTTCATGTAGACGTCACGTTATGAGTTTGGGATGGAAACCACGTGTTGCGAACGCGGAAACGACCCCTTTGGCTATGGTGTTCTTCTATTCTTAACAGCGCGTTTATTTGTCCGCGGTTTTCACGGAAAACGGTGCACGCACAGAGGCACGAGGGAGAAAATGAAAGTTTACCCCGTGCCCGGTTATTTTCAGAGCCTTCGTGCCCCAGCGAGACCGTGAAGCCTTCCATTCCCCCATAACTCCACCATCGCTTCGATTTCGACGCGTCATTCCTCCTCGTACGTCTATTCACCCTAAACGCGCCCGATATTTGCATTTACTTGAACCATTTACTCGTTTTTCCATTACTACGATTAACTCTGCTTATTTAGACAGCTACAATGGCGGGCAAAAGAAAGTTCGAAAATTCTCAATTATTCATACGAGTATCTGTAACTTTTATGTGAATTATAGCGCAGTAAATATAGTAGAATAACGAAGGCAATTATATTTATGCAAAATTCCTTGCCTAAAATTATGGCGTTTCTTCGTATCATCTAACATTTGAACTTTCTTTGATCCATCACTGAGAATATGCAAAAATTAGATGTAAATTCCAGACCATTTTGTCGACTTTTAGTAACAAATTCCTAGAGAATAAAACAGTTTATTCAGCTTTGATAAGGACAAGGTTGAGAACCATCTTCTTGTACCATTATCGATTCCCTTCTTCTTCGTTCTGTGTAAACGAAATATCTGCACAATATCTCTTCTTTTCCTTTTTTAATAGTAAATGATAAATAGTTGCGGAGAAGATCGCGGTATCGCCATTTTGAATCACGAGTATCCGTTCTTTTGCTAACTTACAGAATCTTTTTCAAGATATGAATCGTCCACATTCTAACATAATTATTCAACAATTATCTTCTCGAATTGTTATAAATCTTCGTGATTTTTAAATTTAATCGATTTGACAAACGGGCGATTCGTATATAACTCGGTCTTCGCTTCTTCCTGAAAAATTCACAAATTTTACGAATAAAATATGAATAAAAATACAAATAAAAAGATATTCGAATCCAAATTCTGAGATGATTTTTCTACGCTAAAGACAGCTTCCCTCGACCTACCTTAGACTCCGACGTGGAACCTCAAGGACGATAGCCGATAACAGATAGGTTATTATGGCGGAAAGGGAAGAAAGAGAGGATGAAAAGGGAGAGAAGAAGAAAAATGTGACTCTTGCCGGTTATTTTCGGCCGCGGGATCGCGAGTACCGTGCGTGTTTCCAGTCGGTTTCTGCCAGATATCGATATCGGCCGGCACAAAAGGCCCGTTGTACGAGAAACGATCGCGGTTATGGAAAACGAACGACCCCATTAATTATACCATTGTACGCTCGATAAACTCGCGAGCTGCTTCTGCTGCTGGCTAGCATTGAGACGTTTAGATAAGGCCTCGCCTCGGTTTTCGCGCGTTCGCTATTCCGCGACGTGTTTCAAGGTTACCGAATTTCCAAATGCGAATTCCGCATCGTTCACTGTTCCCTGTCTCTTCTCTAATTTCGATTCGTAATTCATCTTTATCTCGTTGAGCCTCGTATCCCTTATCTGCGATCGGATTTCTCGAAACGGCAGAGAGGTTAGGTACGCCGAGCAATATGGCGGCCATTTCGATCGTGACGAAATATACGTATCATTTAGCGTTTGTGACTCCCATAATTTCGTTCCCAATTATTCCACAAGAATAGTCAGAAATTGAACAAACTTCCTTTAGCTTTTATTATTTAGTCTTACTTATTTCGTGAGTTCACCCTTTACACTCGTATTTATATTTGAGAAGGCTACCAATCAACTCGGAATTTCTTTTCATATTCGATAAGAATGAAAATATTTTTATGGGAACGTATTACAATTTAATTTTTCGGTTTAGTAGAAAAAATTAGAAAAATTCACAAATTTAATATATATATGATAACAAAAGTTAGGATAGCGACTATATGGAGGCATACGAGTGGAAAGAATTAATATCCACGAGGATTGCACGAATTTCTTATCGTCGTAATTAACACTAAATGTACCGCAACCGATGAAATAACCGATAGATGAAAAAATTAAGGAATATCGTTATCGTTTAAAAATTAATTATACGCATATAAGAAGAAAAATGGCGGAAAGCAGTAGTAGAAACGATAACGTCGAGTACAGAATTTTAAATAAAAATTTAGGAAATGCGCAGTTAGGTTAGGTTAGGTTAGGTTAGGTTTGACAAGTATTATTAACGAGTCATCTAAGTGCATTAAGTATGTTATTATATTATCACGATAATCTTCAGGATTTTCGCGTGTCGTTGTTCATTCACGTTAATCAAGCATATTCGTGATGTCGTTTTCTCGAATAACGCGGAACAAACGCATTAGAAGGATATTATTTCATTAGCATCGCGTGTCTCGAGTTGCATTAAGCGAAATTGAACGCGACCCGTGGGGGAGAAAACTAAAGCAAGGTGTGTCCCCACGCAGAAATTAACTGCGTCGTTAATTAAGGACAGGAAGGTCAACCATCTACTTCGACATTATTTTTCTTTCTTTTTTTTTACTGTTTTCATATACCGGTTCGTTTATAAATTGGACATTTAAGGGGGCAGACCAGTGTGACATAACCTCTATCATAACAGTTCTTTAGAAATTCGTAAAAAAGAATTGGATGTAAGTAGCCGTGTAAATTTTTCACAGACTTTACTTTCAACCTTAAAATACTCATAAAAAAATTCAGACAAAAGATACCGCAACAGAAATGTCCGGAAAAAAATCACGAAATAGCTATCCGCAAAATGGAGCGGATCCCGATGGTGGACAGGATACAGCGCGAAGAAAAAATCTGCGAAGGATGAAAAAATATGGCGAATAAAGGCAAACAATATGGCTATCGCACTAACCACAGTTAATAAATTTAGAGCTTTAAACAAGTTCGAAGAAATTCGCGCCAACAGATGGAAACTGTAATGGCGCTAATTTTTCGAATTTTGGAATTTTTGCACAGTTGGCACTGAACGGAGAATTTTTTAAAAACAAAAAAATCGATTTTTTGAAAATTACATACCGGTCTGCCACCTTAATTCCATTAATACCCGTTTTCTATCTTCCCCCCCCCCCCTTTTTTTTGGGGGT